TTCCTTGCTTTTTAACACAACTGCCAGCTTCCATGATATCCAATTTTCCAACTCATTGAAAACATTCTCCAGTTGCTGTGTGATTTTATAAATTGTATTTGTGATACTAGCTCTAAGTTCCTCTTAATATGTGCTTTTGATGAGTAAGCAGCAGCTTTAATATGTTCCCATAAAAAAGTAACAAAATTAGGACAGTCAGGCAAAGGAGCTGCATGAAGAAGGACTTTTTAAGACACTATCAGAGTAGACCTAGGAAGCATGTTTTCCCTAATCACCCAACAAAGGTTATTATAATTAGTGCCAACTCAGTGATTATTTTCAGTTACTAAAGAAAAAGAGAGATTCCAAATTAGTGACTCTACTGTTACAGAATAATAGTAAACTTGTGCTTGTACTGAAATCATAGCATTAAGAAATTCACCCAGTGAGGTTATCTAGTACAAAAAATAGCAATTAAACTTGTGATATGCTAAAGTTTTGGGGGGTGAGGTAAAAGTTGAAAGAAGGAATGAGGCAACAACTTTGAAAACTATCCTCTTGTACATAATTCAGGTGTTTGCAACTATTTTATCAAGTAAAACCAAAAAGTACATAATTGCTTTCACTGATATGATAAGAAAGGACATTCTATAATAGTACTAAGATATCAGAATCACCCGAGTAATTCACCTCAGATTTCCCTTTTCTGACATTGTATTGCTCTGACTCACAAGTGACAAGGCATTTTTTTCAATGGATTTAGCACAGTTTGGATCAAAGCTTCCTCTACTTCATTTAACAAATTTGTTCAGATGGAAGGTCCTGGGGGAGAAACAATGCTAGGAAGAGGGGGTTTCTGAGCATTTGAATATGTAGGTCATTGGATTTTCAAATAAATTATAGAATAGTTTATCTATTAAGCAATCTTCACCATACATATTTTATGAAGCTATACTTAATTATGGGTTAATGTATATCCCAAACTCACTCTACAGTAAAATTAAGCCCTCACACAGTCATAAGACTATAATTCATAAAAACTATATAGAAATACAAGGTGTCAAATAATTCAAACTGAGATGTTATGAAGGTGTCAATGTGGTAAAGTAGGCAAATAAATTACCAGGAGTCCATGGTTCTGATCTGTGAAAGGGAGTATATCAAACATAGAAAAATTCAAGCTGCAGCAAAGTCAGAATGGTTGATTTTAAAATGCAACCACAACCTAGTGTGCTAGCACTGGCCTTTGGGTTTCTTTATTCCTATTGACTTCATCAATGGCATTACTGACAGGACACTGCTAACAGAACTAGTTTAAAAAATATATATGATTTTGCTTAAAGTTTGTTTCCATTGTGCACACGCTCCAAAATCTAGCTAGTAATATTCCCACAAAATTAGATATTCAGATATATTAAGGTTTTTTAAAATTTAAATGAAGTTGGGTGGCTATCATATTATCCCAGATCCAATGCCCTTTTTTAGGAGTGGATTTTAAAAGGAACATCTGAAGTCTGAAAATTATTTTTTTGGTTGATTCTGATGAAGAGTATAAGTCATTCTTCGAACTCAATGTGGAATAAAGTAGACTACTATTTATACAGTCATCCTGAATTATAAAAGATCAATAGGATGAAGAAATTAAAGATAATGCTGATGACAATGTTTTTTGGTTTGGGTTTCTGCTACTCCACATTTCCTTCTGCCATAAATAACACTTTTGCACAGAGGAGAACTTAACAGATGACATGCCATTAGTCCCCTAAAAAATAGATTACAGTGACCTGTGAGTTCTGAACATAGAGTACTACTTGGACTGAAACCATTGAATATATCATCTCACTTTGTCACCCTGACATAAACTCTTGCGACATTATCATTCATATAATATATAAATTTTATTAAGCTACTGCTTGTGTGCATGACATGGTATTATAGGTTCATCATAACTTTACACTGTTATCATTTTTCGAAAACTGTTATGCCAGAAATTCATCTGGCATTAGAGTCTTCAGAAACAGAAAAACATGTTGGTAAATTTTTCATTCAGGACAAATATAAAGAAAATGGAGGGAAAGCCAGAATATAAAATAACTTGCTGCTGAAGCACTATGGTATAAACGTAGGTTCTAATCCCTGCTCTGTTATTTTTTAGCTGTGTGACTTTTGGCAAGTGATTATACCTCTCTGTTCCTCATTTTCCTCATTTGTAAAATAAGGTGGTAAGAGTGAGTTCCCATACAGCTCTAAATCACATGCTCTTTTGGTACCCAATGGCACTAATCTGAAGCCTAAAACCATTCTGTGATCAAGGCTCTGATGATCTCCCAGACACTGCCACTGAAATTATATGAATCCTGTACCCATGTTACAGATCTGGTTTCCTGGTATGGTGGTTTTCAGGAAATGTGAATTTAGTCTCCCAAGGCACTGTTAATCAAGCCTGATGTTTCATATTTCTAAGAATTTTCCCTTCCCAAAAACAGAAATTACTTATTTTTATCTTCTTTTTTTAGACAGTATATATTTGTGTCATCAAATTAAAGGAGATGATATAAGAAAAAAAAAACCATAAACCATCATATTGATAAAAGCTAGCTTCATCTGACTCCACAAAGAATCAACAGTAGAATTTCCTTAAAGTGTAGGTGGAGGGTCAATTTCTCAAACAAGCTGTATTTTTATGATTTTCTGTTTAAAAATGAGACTTGGTTGATTAAAATTCATTAAAGACTGTCGGGGGGAGTTCTATTAATTAAATTTATTATTTTACATCATTATTTAACTCGGAGAGCTAAAGAGACATGGGTCAGATTTACAAGGAAGCATTTGGCTTAATTAAATACTTCATCTTTGTAGAAATCGCTCCTTCAAAAAGGTTGTTTTTGAAAAGAAAAACCAGGAAAGCATTTTATGATGCTATATTTTTAAATTGTGAATATTATGCACGAATTCTTTTAATACACCATAGCTTGCCTTTCTCTGCAACTATCTAAAGGATTATGGAAATAAGAATTATTGGGTAACAAGATATACAAAGTATTTTATATTAGACTTGATATTAGACATATGATGGACATCACTGAATTATTTCCTGAACCTCTCAATGAATTAAAAGTATATTTCATTAAAGAGCAAGCCAATTAAATTCAAAGATTACACTATTGATGTCCATCGAAAATAATAAGATAGTTTTTAATTCTCACTTCTATCTGAAGAATGAGGAAAAGATTCCTTTCAAACAGTAGTTATTTGTTACTATTCTGTACTGTACTAGCCTTTTTTTTTTCCTGTAAGGTATTACACCATATATAAATAGCTGATTCTACTAATTGGACTTCTCATAAAAAGGAGAAAAAAACCCCACAGCTTGGTTTCCTAGGGCATTGAATAGTCTCATTTCTACTTACTACACCTGATAGTGAAGCTCAGTCATAGGCCCAATGACTTCCTGCTTAAGTTCAAAATATGTCACTCTGTCAATATCATGTACCTTGATTATGTCAAGCTTTATACACAACAGGTTAAGATCCTCATGGGATGAAAAACCCTCCTAAATTAAAAACAGAATTTTAAAAGGAAATACACATACATTCCTGTCTAGTTTCCACTTGATACTTTCAAGGTTAGCCCATGAAGTCAAACTCACATTGATTGAAAGTGATTTTTCTGGGTAGAACCATGTTAAAATTTTAATTGAAAAAGGAAAATAACAAAACTATGTTTCCATGATTCAATCAGAGCCTTTTATACTTGTTATTTTCAAGATGGTAATGCCCTCCCCTCAAAAAATCACTAATCCATAAAAACGGACAAAAGTCACAGTCTAAGAAAGACCTTCAGGAGACCAAACTCCATAACAACATACCAATAGGGTCTTTAGTCCTGCCTCATTCTATTTGGATAAAAAGCATTGTATACTGTATTTTAACTCCCCAGTCACTGACTCACCATGCTTCCTACATTATAGCCATTATCCACAATTCCCCTACCCCTCTCCAAATAGCCTTGGATGCTTCCCTGGGTCACCTCCTTGTTATGCTGCCTCTAGCTATCATCCAAAAATCATTCCTACTCTCTCTGCATCCCCCCTGAAACCTTAGAATATGCAACTTGGTCTTCAGTTCTGATCAGTCAGCTTCCCCTCATGCCTCTTTCCAGTAATCTCTATACTCACACCCCATTCACAGATTCCCTTTATGTATTATCTTCCCCATTTTAGAATGTAAGATCCTTGGTTGCAAGAAATATCTTGCTTGCTTTTATTTGTGCCCCTTGTGATTAGCACAATGCCTAGGATATAGTAAGCAGTTAATAAACCTATTTCTAATCTATTCACCTATCTTTTAAAATTCAAAGCGATATACAACCATACAACCATGCTTTTATATGTAGCCAGCATATAAACAGAGCTTCAAATAAACCTGGAAATAAAATGTTAATTTGCCATGAAATGCTTCTTCATGTACATAAATGATAACTCACAGAAGCAAAACAAAAGTATGTTACAAATATAAAAAATACAAAATTGGATTCTAAATTCATTCTTCTGATTTTAGTTTGGGGATAACTCACCAGAATGGATTGTAATAGTATTATTAAGAGGACTGCAATCTTCCTTAACTACAATTCTGATCACTATAGACTAATGCTGCTAAAGGCCTTTGGAGTCTTTTAGTGGAGAGAAATGTAGCAATTAAAAGGAATATTCACAACCTTCTTTGAATTAAACTCATTATCAAATCATCTAAAAATTATTTGGGGAAAATGTGTAAATAATGAGTTTAATATGAATTTATGTTATATTACCATTAAATATAATAATCATATGGATAATGTGAAGCCACTAGCTATGGATATTTAACTGAGCTGAAAATCTACCCAGTTAATATTGAAGGATTTATAGCACTTATGTCAGACTGTCACGATTTTTTCCCAGGCATTTTCTTACCACAGAATGAACTAGTTGTGTACCCCCTTTAGCATTTATGATGCAAGTATAAAAGTAAAGAAAATAATACCTGTGTACGGTTGAATGCCACTCTAGCAAACACAGCTTGGGAAACACTGGCTCTCTTCAGCTCATCTCTGACTTGCTGGTAGATATCTGGAGAAACTTCCACTGAAGAGTTTGTTGGCTCTGGCTTCACTGCTCTGGGGATGGGGGGATGATTCAAGAACTGTTGGTTGATGGCTTGAGGGTGTTGGTGAGCCAATAGTCGGCTGACAGCTATCTGTTGGTTTATCAGGTGGGCCATTGCTATTTGTTGCCTTACCAGTTGTGGACTGAGTTGGGGAGAAAGAAGACCAGGGCTCATGATGGGCTGTAATGTGGGCACTTGGTTTCGGATTGGAGTACTATGGTGAATTTGGCTATGAGGAGACTGTTCGTTAGTTTTTCCCAAGGTTGCCAGCTGGTTCATATTTGGTAAATGCATTGGACGTTGGCCCAGAACACAATAGTCTGAAAGGTTTTCTCTTTCCACTCTTTCCACTGTCAAAAGATAAAAATGAAATTTTGTTATTTTAAATCACATAGGTGCTACCAAAATAGCTAATATTGAATTATGCCTTTGTCACGAGTATGTTCAAATGGACTTCTTTTTCCCTACCTAAAAATGTAGACAAAGGTGAAGAAAGTACCTTTAGTGCACTGTAAGTGAAAATAACTTCTACCCACATGCAAAAGTCTCTTCAATTAAAACATACTAGAAAAGATTCCAAATCAAAACTATTGACTGCTTTCACTTTGTTGAAATTACTTCAGGAATTCATTTTACTGAATGACCAAGAGAAAAATCAACAACTACACAGCCTGAACTCTTTCCATATTCAAAAGCTCCATCAACTCCCTGGGTTACTCTTATCTAAAAGTACCAGCTACTCTCTTTGTGGAGTTTGTAGGCAATAGTGCAGTTCATGATCATCAGGAAATGACAAGGACAATATCTCCTACCAAAATAACTGTTAACCTACTTTATAAAAACTATGAACACCACCATAAACAACTCCCTAAAACAGAGTATATCTTCATCTATCTATTCAATTGCTCACTGCTTTTAGGAAGAAAGAGTTGTGTGTGTTTCTTCATTTTTTAAGTAAGATTGTGATATGAATGTAGGACAAAAAATGAGCTTTTCAAAAATCTCTACATACAATTAAATTTATCCTAATACGGATTATCATTTTGGTATCTATTTAGTGAATGAAAGCATCAGCTCTTGGAAAGGAGGAAGTAATAGGTTGCTCTTGCTTGCTAAAATAAAAGGCTTGGGAGGTAGCAGAGAGAATGAGGCTGACGTGTTTTATAAACCTCTCAAGTAATCAACAGTTTCCTTTAAATTTTTTAAAAGTTCAATTTCTAATTTAATCCCTTCAAAATGATTTGGTTGAGTATACTCCTCTATAAAGTCTACAATCCAACAGAAACCTGTTGAAGATTTGCAATTATGCTTTTTTATGAGCAACACCTTTCAACCATCTCTTAGTTAAGGAATATATACTTATTAAATATAGAACAAAGTATTCTTGGAACCAAACCCAGCAGCATACATAATGAAAATTCAAAAGAGCTAGATATCCCTGAGCTAATCTATACACATTCTACAAAGGGAAACTATTCTTATTCTCATTATGCAAATGAAGTAGAGACATCATGAACCGAGGACATAGTAAGCCCAAGCTTTGTGTTCACTCTCCTGAGCCATCCTCCTAATACTACAACATATATTTTCATCTAAGCCAGGATCAGTTAAAGCAATAAATGATGTTTAATCTTAAAAAGATTCAAAAGCAGACGTTTCAATCTTTTTTTTTCTTTTTACTCAAATGACATGACTTGTTGAGGAATTCTCAAATATTGGTGTTCTAGGAGAAAAATCTTTTAGTAACCCCACATTGATTGACCCAATACTAACCACTTTCTAAAATCAATATTTAAACTCTCAACAACTTAATCATCTTCTATGACATTTATTCTCTCCTAATATGGCATATCTAAGCCAAAGAATATTCCATCAATAAGAGAGAAAAGTGGTTTCCAAATATTCTGTAGTGATAAAACCTTCTACTTTATACAAGCTTCAGCAGAACCTTTGCAGTATTTTTAAAAATTTAAATGTTTACTACTCTCAGCTAACATAGGATTGATTTTTTAAAGCTTATATTTCAGATAATTTTAACAATTCATATTATCATAAAATAATACATATATAACACAAATTACTTTCATTATATTCCTGGATAGAGGTAATTCAAATATTATTATATTCATTTTACAGATAAGAAAACTGAGGTTCATATGGTCATAAAAGTAGTAAATGCTCGTGTTAGGATTTGAACTCCAAAAAATTGACTCCAGTGTCCATACCACTACACATCCAGGTTCTCAGATAATTTTTCCCCAGAATGTAACCACGATGCAAACAACTTGCTTAGTAATAAGGATGTGATTTCTTGTGATCCATGAGTATTCAATAAGTGGAAGCAATAATAGATAGTAATTCCCCTTAAATGATTTTTGAAGACAAATGGCATTTTCCTTTTTACTTACATAAATGTGCATTTTGAGAGGTTGTTTTAGAACAACCCTTTTTCCTTTAAAATTTTGAGGATTTCATTTTCAGATTCACTGTGATATCTATAAATGTTTTTCATAATTTTGTTAGAACCATCAAACTTTATCAGAAAGACAATGTACTGCAACTATGCATCAGAACACTAGAAGAAAACCTAAATTGGAGATACCTCTAGTGATATATGCATTTGGTGATTTAACTAGGGTTCAGAGGTTTGTTGTTGTTTTCTATTGTCAATATGTTAATTATTTTATTATATTTTAAAATTATTTTAAATTCTTAAAAAATTTCCATAGTGGACAGAAAGTTTCTAATAAAAGTTTCTTGTGTCGAATTGGAGGCAAAAGGCAAAGATAAAGCAAGGTGGGATAAATTACCTTTCTAGCTTTATGCACACCAGCATAGTCAAGTTCCAAGAGCATGAGATGTAGCATGGTGAGGGAGTGACAGTGATTCTACTGTACAGCAAGATACATGCCTGGTGAGGCTATTCAGAGGAGCAACTCACTGGTTCATAAGACCGTAGTATCCCTCTACCTTTGACAATACGAGAAGTGGCTCATTGACTTCCCTGCTCTTAGTTACAGCATCTTAACTAAAGAGAGGCCCCTAATGAACCTACTTAAGTTTGGGGCCCCCTTAGTATTTCTGATTGGCTCAAGGGAGTCCAAGAAGATTTTGTTTCAGATCAGACTTCACAGGCCTTAAGTTATGTTGCTGACTGGACATTCCAAGTAACTTAAGAGACATCATATTACAACCACTCCAGTTCACATAGGGATTCTTTCAATCTCCACAGCTGGCCCATGAAAGCTATGCCATATATAGGGTTTCAAGGTTACAGTAATTTCTCAAATTCCTATAAGCCACTCAGTTTCACAAAGTACATTCTTCATAACAACCTTGTGAGGTAGGTAGTACAAATATTATTATTCCCATTTAAGCTCAGCGATTTGAGTTCCATCCATGGTCACCTGGCTACTAAACACAAAAGTAGGATTTGAACAGAGGTCTTCTGAATCCGCATTCAGGGGACTAGAACAAATGTGCTTCAGAATGACTCATAAGCATTCAAATGATTCAAGGCTTCTAAGCACATACATGATTAGCTAGAGAGTTAAAAGTCTGTGGGAATTTGTTTAAATTACTAATGAGAGTGAATTTGCTTCAAAACTATATTCTATTTCAAGGATTTTCAGAGCACTTTGGATAGCCAAGAATATTTTTTAAAAAATCAAGTTATATCAGTGACTAGTGTCAAGATAAAAAGTGTACAGGGAAAACATACATACTTAGGTACAGTTTTCCCCTGAGTTGTATGTAATCTAAGTTGTTTATATAATAATTTTTATTATACTTTTAATGACTACTATTCTATAAATCTGAATGCAACTTCCTCCTTGCATTCATGTGTATTACTTTGTCATAACCATCCTTCCTTTTTAATCTATAAATTCAATTATTAAAAAGAAACTACTATGAACTTAAATAGAAATCTATTATTTTAAAGTAATAGTCAATTTGATTCTATTTTATATTATTACAGTAACCTGTGATTACCAGTCAGTCATATCTGAAAGGATCAAAACCATTTACAAACATATCAGTAGTTCTCATGAAAGCTTTGCTAGGCAAGCAAATTAGCTATGTTTTACTGTGGAAATAAGTAGTAAAGGGTGAGGTTCATTGTTTAGGGTCATCCTATCAATTCACAGTTGTAATGCAATTTTTTAAACATCTAATTAGTAGCTCTCTTAGACACATAGTAAATTCTCAATTAACTAGCATCCAACTAACCAAAATCCTCTATTCACTGGATTAGGGTTTTCCCCCAATTCTCTTCTTTCAAAAGAAAAACAGATGGCAAGAGAATATAAAGAAAAAATTAGTTCTATTCCTGTTCAGTTGTTTTCAGTAATGTCTGACTCTTTGTGACCCAACTCCCCATCTGGAGTTTTCTTGGCAAAGATACTGTAACGGTTTGCCATTTCCACCTCCAGCTCACTTTACAGATGAGGAAACTGAGACAAGCAGGGTTAAGTGACTTGCCCAGGGTCACACAGCCAGTATATTTCTGAGGCCAGCTCTGAACTCTGGAAGATGAGTCTCTTTGACTCCAGATCCAGCCCTTTATTCACTGTGCCACCTAGCTGCCCCATGTTCTATTCTAGGATATATATTAAGGTCAGTGTATATGCAGCATTACCATGCAGCTCTAAAATTGTATCATTCTAATTTCCTTCATAATCTATAACTATAGAGGTATTCAATAAGAGTTGCTGTTCAGGATGAGACACTATAAAATCCTGAATTATCAAAGACAGAGCCAACGGGGGTAATAAATATATTACTGTGGCAGAAAAGTGAACTAAATTTTTTCAACAAAAATTTAAAGGGTGGGGGGCAAATTACTTTTTAACCCTTATTAGAAGAGTCTATTACTAAGCATTTCAGCTAATCATGTTGTAAATGTAACCAAACATCACAGCTTGTTTAGTGGTTGATAAACATTCTAAAGATATTTAAAGAAAAATTGTTAATATATTTAGAAAATTCATTTGTGAACATATATGTACCCTGATGCTTGTCATTATTTCTCATACCTTCATAAAAAAAGTTCATGTTGTCATTTCACTCTTAAAAGTCATAGTTTTAAACTTGCATATATCTAGTGAAAGTTTCTGCTATTTCATCTTTCATTTTTGTCCTCTGAGATCACGGCAACTTCATAAGAAATTATTTATTTCTTCAATTTATAATACTCACACACTGAGCACTTAATCTTATCCAAAATAACATTAGACAGTTAATTTCATATTCCTAAAATTATACAAGTGGCTAATCATTTGTAAACTCCTTGGGAGTAGGGATTGTTTCATTCATTGTAGTATTTGAATTCACAGTATGCAGTCTGGAA